CGATCAGGGAATGCGGAAAAGTAGAGTTAAATCAGTTCTAAGTTACCAGAAAAAGTTGAGTGCCACACAACACTGGTAGCCATGTATCTTATTTTTAGACAAATGGGATTTTACAAAACAGTATCCTTAACATAAATGTCTTCTTGAAATTATTTCAAAATTGTTTCAAACAAGCGTATTTGAGTCAGTGTGATGGCTGATCAGTGCCCTCTTCAGGAGGTTTTCTCTATCTGCTGCACTGATAATTAGTCACATATCAGAATTTTTTAACGTTAGGCAACTATAAATATGTTTACCAAGGATGATGATGGCCTAATTGTATTAAAAAAAAAGAAGAGACAAAATACTCTAACACACAGTTTTCTGAAGTCTGTGGTGTCAGTGCTGAAAACTCATTGCCCATGTCTTTAAGGAGCGCCCAGTTGACACAAGAAGCATGATCTCTCTCTGGGAATAGTCATTTCACACCAGCATTGCACTAAAAAGAATTTTGCTGTGTATTACAGAATTCAGCTGACAAGTTCATCAGTCACACACTGTCACTTATCAAATCTAAGTCTTCTGCAAGCCCATATACATTTTTTTGTACCCTGGAGGCTAAGATGCATAAAACTTTTTTTTTTTCTACAGACAAGTTTTCCACCTTTCTGGAAAACTGACACCTCCTCCTGACTAGAATAATGGCCCTAATGTTTTAGAAACATCACAAACATCTGGTACATTAGAAATGAACTTACACTGAGGACTATTTGGCTAAACAATGACTTCAGTGAGATCTCATAACCACACACAAAGTCCAAATAATCTAAATCATTTACAGAATGCCGTGTGAAAAGAAAGGAAAAAATTACCTTTGATGTTGCTTTCACTGCAAGGGGGCAGTTTCTCAAGAGACCATCAATAATTTAGACTCTACATTCAATGTCTCATACTCTGTAAACCCTTGAGTGGCAGCTGAATTCAGGTAACTTATTTCCTGCAATAATCTGACCAAGCTCTTCAACACATTGGCTATAGATAAACTTCTGACATGTATTTGTCTCAAAAATATTCAAAATGTTTCAAAAACATACACATCATCCAAATATATCAGAGTTTTGAAATGCTTAGTTATCTGCTGTTCAAAGCAATTAGTGTTATGCCTTTCAACTGAAATTTAATATATTTTTATTTACTATTGTTAAAAAAAATTGCTTCATCTTTTGATCTACAGCATGAGCCATAAGGAAAGTCTATCTTCTATTCTCCCACATGGAACTCAGTTACGTATAAACAGACTCCACATTCTGGCATATGTTCTCAATGTAAATTTGTTTAATAGCTTCCAGTTGAGAAACAGTGTTTTGAGTATGCTCAGCTAACATTTCTGGATGCAGTAAAGTCACAGGCAGAAGCTGTTACCTTCTATCGCCATGTGTCCCACTGTTCAAATGAACACTACCAAGGTAAGGTCATTTGATTACTCCTAAACCAGCTCTTTAATAGCTGCAGACTACCACAGAAAGCTTTTTTTAATATTTGGTTCTGAGCTCTAATAGCTGTGGGGCTGATGTACAAAAAGATCAGTCTTGATATGGGAAAGTGTAAATCCAAGTTAAAGGTTGCTAACTGATTATTGAAGAAATTAAACTAGAAGAATCAGGAACCAGGGATATTCTGCACAGAAAATATATTAGAATTTTAACTTTCCAGCTGTAAAACCTTAAAAGACAAGATGACAGAAAGAAACCTGTACATTTACATAATATTCTGCTTAGCAAATGCTCTTGGAAGAAAACCAGGACACAATGAACATTTACAATGTGGCAATCATGATTCTTGCATTCCAAGGAAAGTTCTTTACCTGTCGAAAAATCTCAGTTAGAAAATTAACATTGCTTCTTTTAGAAGAAAAGACTTTCCGGACAATTTCTATATCCGTTAAATGCTCTTCATCAATACTGCAGAGGCTGGAAGAACTTGGTTCTCTCTCTGTCAGAGTACTTGTATTAGAATGAGATTGTTCTGTCTCTGCATTTCTTTCCTGCTTATCAGTACTGTCATTTTTGCTGTCCTCTCTTGAAGCCATGCTGGCAGCTGCTCTCTGAAACAAAAATTGAAGAATATTCCATAGCTCATCTGTAGTATAACAACTGAACAGTCCAATTTAAGCTATACAACAGTATAATTTAAAACAGTACAAAGAATTCAGGAAAAAAAAAAAACGAAACAAAAATAAGATTCAATGCATTTCAAGGCTTCTCATGTCTATTTGATTAAAAACAAAATAGCACAATTTGGAAAAAAAAAAAGCAGCACAGTGAGTCCTTCTAAAGTGAACTCATAAGCAAAACAATTTGTTTAGAAGTTCCTTTAACTTCTTCATTAGCTATAATTATTGGAGAAGTGCACACTACTGACATAACAATTCAGACAAAAACATAAAAACAAATACTTCTTTGCGCATTTGACTTTACCTGAATATTCTTTGGCACATTTTCACCTTCTATCCCAGGAATATGAGATCCTGTATGAGGTTTTGGTTCAAGCCAGAAGGACACTAACCATCGAATGACAATAACACGAGCCTTAGTAAAAGGTTCCTTTATGCAATATATTGCCTCATTGGTTTCAGCATCCTTCTTAACCATTACATAGTGTGGCTTTGGTCTCATTTGTGGTATATCTGTAAGGAAACACAACACTGTAAAAATGTACACAGAGCAAAAGTGCTATCTAAGAAAGAAGTTTTAAAACCATAACAAATACATGTGAACTTCCAGAGGTGCTGTTTTTTTCATGTTCACTGTTGAACAACTCACCCCAATATGTGCCAAAATAGATGTAACAGAGAAAATTTCAAGACTAGAGTATAAGACACCAGAGTATAAGACACCAGAAAGCTGTAATTTTCTCCTCAAAGTGGACAGTATTGTTGGTCCAACAGACAGCAACTTGTTTCTGCTATGTAAAACCTTTAACTTTTTATCTGAACACAATTTCTATAGCCTTACATTCTTGTATTTTTTTCCTAAACAAGTAAACACTTCTCCTTTTTTTCAGCTTTTTTAAGCTACATGCTATACTCAATATTTAAAGATAAACCTCAGCAAACTGACTACTTCACACTTCATTGAAAACTACAAAGGAGTTCGAAGGAACAAAATAACCATTAACTGGTCTAGAACATGGCCTAAACAAGAAAACTTGTTTTCATATAAAATTAAAATATCGTCAAATTTCTTAGTTAAGAACTATCTGTAGTTGTTTAAGTTCTTAAGCAACAATTTATGTAACTCACACCATTTTACAGTCCTTTAAGAGTCCTAACTGTGACTTAGGCCCTACTACCAAACCTTCTGGGAAAAGCAGACGCCATTTAGGCACAAGGTATCATCACTTTTCCTAAAGCATCTCTAGAAATATCTCTATGTTGGTCTGCAGCAATCCACAATAAAGCAATGTAATTACTGATAAGGGTCATCAGTTCTTTACTGATACAGATCGCAACATCTAATCGTGGTTACAATGGGAGAGTTTTAGTTACAAAGTGTATTGTAATAGCAGCTGCAGTAAACAGCCTCTTCTGGTGCGGCAATAGATGAAAGATGAATAGGACAGGAAGAAATCCTGCTCAAAAGCCATGTGAGTTTTGCAGCTTCATCTAATGCCACATCTGCACTAGCTAATTTTGCTGCACTTGGCTGCCAGAGCAAGAGCACATGCATCTTCCTATGACTTAGCTGAAAGACGAATCTGTGCCAATAGCTTCTGTACTGGCTTGCAGGGATTGCAATGAATGATGCTCAGTAGCAGGGCAACTGGAAGGAACTGTGGTTCTTTGGGGTCTATAACCTACAATTTCATGTCTTTCCATTCCACATTCTACATGATGGTTCAGAACTGTTTAGGTCTTCCGGTCTCTACTGTGCTAGTGACAAAGATGCTGAAAGTGTCATCAAGATACCTGAATCTACTTCAGAGGAAAATAACAGTCCTTAACTCCACGTGGATGGAATTGACATGAGCAGTAAAAACATTGCAAAGATGGCAGGGGGAGGCAGGACACACATGGGCAGTTTTTAAATTGTGCATGACGACGTTTGTCTGAGTGGTGTGCCAACTCTATTCCTAGTTCTAGAGTGGCAAATATGAGTTCTGCTCTGACACAGAAGGTAGATGAAAACTTGTTTGAAGACTGATTATGACATGCTGTCAGAACCCACCCTGCTGCTGATGTTTGTGTCAGTTTTCATCTGGTGACAGAACACAAAATAAGGCAAACCCAAAACCTCCCAAAAAAAGTGCAAAATGAAGGAGACATGGAAAATGATGGTCCTATCCAGATATGGAGAATGATAGATTGGACAAAGATGGTACTTGGGCACTGTCTCCTCTTCTATAGGTTGTAGTACATGAGTAAGAGATCTGTTCCATGGTTTCACAAGCCAGAAAGCAGTTCAAAGATACTAATAGTGGGAGTCAAAGGGGACGCAAAGTAGTCATACCGAAGAATATAAAGTGTTCCCTGATTATATTTTCCTAATGCAATGTCAAGAGTTGTTTTAAGGGATCCAGCTTCTGCCATAAGACCTTAATACAATCGTAAGTTACCATAACCTGTCATCATAACTTCTGACAGGTTATGGTATCATAATTCAGGAGAAGCAAATCTGGATGGCAGCAAAGAAATAATCAGCTACTATGTAGGCAATTAACTTCTAAGAGCTGCATACACCTTTAGGCACTTGAAGCGGATACAGCCTACCTGCCAGGCTGCTATAAAGGTTCGCTTGTTAATGTTACAAATGCACAACATCAGCACCAGCATCAAGGATCTCTCCATTTCAACAGCCACACACAAAAGCAGTGATAAACTCATGATGCTGCTAAACTAGGGAACGTTTCCAGAGCAGACTTTAAACATCCATCCACTATTTGTAATGGAGGCATTACTTTTAGAGGAAAAAAAACAACATGACTCTTGCATACCATCCACCTAAGTAACAAATGCAGAGAATACTTTTTAAAAGCTTACAAAGAGTGTATTTATTACAAATAGAAACTAGTACATTGTTTTAATTTTGTGGAAATCAGCGAGTTATTAAGAAAGTTAAAAATTAATGTCTTAAGCATGTATAATAGCACAATCAGTGAAAAAAGGAAGCAAATGCCATGTAACGCAGTATTTAAAGACGCAAAAATCAATTCTCTCTGGCATCTATTAACATTCAGCAGGGTGTGAAGGCTGCAATACTAGAAGTCTTTTCAAAAGGACAAGACATCCAGTAGACACGCAGAAAACATGTCTTTGTTGCACACTGTCTCCTGCAGTTTCACGATATCCTCTCAGAATATGCTCCCTCTCAACTGCGTTGTGTGCTGCATCTGCTTCTCCGGTGTATCCTCCTACAGTCATTTACTGTATTTTCACATTTATGTCCATCTTGGAAGTAGGTATCAAGGCTCCAGGTGAGGACGCTGACATAAAACCAAAGCAAAACAGAAGATTATTAGATTGACTCAAATAGCAGAAGAAGAAATATTCCTTTCCCCCAACTTTCCATTTTTCCTTTATTTTAGGCTTTCCCCATCTCCCTCCCTTCCGCCTCTGGTGCTGTGGTTTGAGGCTTGGAGTGGGGGTGTGACCTTCCAGCACCTGGGAGGGCCCCGGGTAGGGGGGGAACCGTGTATTCCCTCCCCTTCTGTTCCACACTCTGGGAAAGAGGCAGGAAGTGGGTGCCAGCCCCTGCTCCTGCCCTGCGGCTCCAGGTCCAGGCGTGCTTTTGCTCTGTGGGACCTTGGAACAATTCTGAGGGTTTTGTATATTTTGTTTACTTTTGTATTTTCCCCAATCTTTGTATATATTTTTTAACTCCCTTTTTCATTTTCTGTTCCCTGTTAAACAATATACTTTATTTTTCATTTAACTTCCAATCAGTTTTCAAAGTCTCCCTCTCTCGCTGGGGGGGGAGGGGAGCACATAGTTCTGTTCCGTGTGGGTCCTGCCCTGAACCCCTTTTTACATGGAACTAGAACATCTGGGAACTTGCTGTGAGCAGGTGCCAAAAGAGAAGGAAGCTGTAGGTGGTGGAAGACATATACAGGGTAGAAAGTGAAAAGGCTAGCAAAACCACAGTTACGATGGTGGACACTTGTAGTTTTGACCACATTTACTTTTTAAGGCAATAAAGGGTTCAGAAGGAATGAAGAGCTGCCGAGAACTGCAGGGCAGCCCACTTTGTCTCCTTGTAAATGAAGAAGCCCATCTAAATGGCATGGAAATGACACAGAAAGGCGCATTACTATGATGGAAGAAATAATGCCCCTGGAACCTTACTGCCATATCTGTAGTTTTTAATAAACAGTTTCTAAAGACTATATTACAGAATCTAAAGAGCTCTTAAGAGACATTCAAAACAAAACTCATGGACCCTTTTAAGCCTGTAACACTTAAGCCAGAATTTAGAGGAGGCACAATACTAGCTTCTTGTAACTGGAATGCCTGGTGCTTGTTACTATAACCAATACACTTATCTGAAAATCTGCTTTAACAGAAAGAAGGGGGAGGGGAAAAAAAAGAGCCTACATCAAACACACTAGCTCCAGTAAAGCCCTGTATCAATGCTTGCTTACTAAAACTACAGTTTTGGTCTGTACCTCCTGACTTGTCCCAAATTAAACATTACAACAGTGGCATAAGAACCGGTTTTAGTAGCAGGCTCAGTGCCCAAGTTTGCCATGTTTTCTGCTTAAATGCTATCAATTTTGTTCCAAACATCCACAGGTCTCTTTTCAAATAGGGTGGAAAGATGCATGTCAGAGAAGAACAACTTAGAGGAGAAAAGACTATTCTACTTACCAGTGTCTCTGTTGCTTTTACTGTATTCTTCCCAAAAATCCTTGTTGTTGTTGCTCACTTTTCACATTTTAAAGCCCTGAGAGTAGTTTTGGAGATCTGTGCCCATTTCTTCTTGTTTCCCACTGTCCTCTTCTTTACTAAGGCCTTGGAAATGTCTTGTTTAGAGCTCACAGAAGAGAGGACTACAGTAAAACTTCTATGGAAGACTCAGTCAAGATCTTCATAGAAAGATAAAATATCCTTTGCCTATTTCTTGTTTGAGGACACCAAGCAGCAGTAGTTTTGCTTTCTCAGCATTGCTTATCATCCATCTTGTAGCTATTTTATCACTAAACCTATTCAGTATCTTCACACAACTCCTGTTCTACTGTTGCTTACGGTTGGATTTATACTATTCCTTCCCCTTAGATGAGGTCCACTGTTTGTCTTTCCTAGGAGAGCATGGGTTCGAAACATCCATCTCTGAAGAAAGCCACAATCCAAATACATGCATGTGGACCAGCAGAAACTAAGACCTTTTCAACAAAATTCCCTACAGCTTGATTGTAGAACATGAAACTGTGTCTGGAGATCACCATTAATCCTTGTGATTATCATCAACAGGTATGAGGAGTAGTGAGGTGCCCATATTATTTAAGTAATGTAATAGCAGCTTAAAGCCTGTGTACCTGGTATTGCTTTGCAAACAAGAGTCTTGAACACTGTTGGCTTAAAACCAACATATGCATAGGTGCATGCAAACCTAAGCTAGCAAAACCAAGATTTGCAAACAATGTTCCAGCTTAGAATGGGCTAAAACCTTGTAAGCAAAACTCAAGTTAGGTTTGCTTAGCAAACACCTAAACTTCCGCTTTCTGTATGGGAAGATACATTCTATCACCATCAGCTTCAAACACCATGTTAAACCCCAGCTTCCTCTTCCTACTGCCATCTCTTGACAAAATACAGTCAACACAAAAACACAACTAACTTTGCCCTCTCTGACCTACAAGCAAGCACCATATGATCCACACACTTTGATTCTCTACAGATAAAGCCAACAACCCCCAAAGAACAGCACAATAACACCTTTTATCTCAGCAGCAGTAGTTACTTGTCAGAGCATAAGTGAATAACAGAAGACGCATTAAAGAACTGTTTTACAAGAACATTTAATTTACCTGAACCAGATGAATATAGCAAAACTGAATCTAGTGAAAGTGTCAGGTGCATCCACCAACAGCATGAAAAACATGAACAGGAACTATAGCATGTTATTTCATAAGAAAGACTTTTGGAGAATGTTCTTTTTGGGCAATATGACTCAAGCAAAAAAAAATTGCTTTGCTATACCCTCTTAGAAAAAAATGAATGATTTCATCAGCTGGGTTAACACTTACCAAGTATAGGGTTATACAAGCTGGTCTCCTTACAGATGTTTGGGAAAATAGAAGGTAAGTAGTATTTCTTAAAATTTGAGAATAAAAATGAAAATCCCTTTTCCTGGTTTTCCTTGTTCTTCCATTCTAAACTCTTAACCTTAAAAAAAAAAAGAAGTAGGAGAGAGAGATGACTGATGAAATGTCTTCTTTAGAAGTTATCTAGAACAAAATTATATGTATTTTAATAAAGACTTTTAGAAAGATGGAACTGAAACTAGCTAGGAAATGTCAATGAAAGAAAGAATATTCTCTTCCATACATTGCTTCTAAATGAACTTGAACACATAAAATATTGAAAACAATAGAAATAATCTGCTTTTATGATCGTCTTGCCAAGTCAGGGAGTAAACTCAAATTCACTGTTTTCAATAAAACTTTTTATATTTCAAAATGTTTTCTTTTATAAGAAACAGACAGTTGCCAATTCTACTCTGAACCTCTGTTTAACAGTTTCTTTTAACACATTTTCACTAATAAATGCCCATATATTCATTATAATAGGTAAGTGGGTTAAATTGTGTGTTTAGAAGTATGAAACTAATCTGTTGTCCACAAGGAGCAGAAGTTACAACTTTGAAGCTGAATTATACAAATCTACTTTCATGGACCGTGAGTGCTAAGTCTTCCCCACAATTAAACGTTTTCCTACCGAAAAACATGGCAAGTTCTCCTTGATAATAAATCCAACATGCACTTTTCATTTTTGTCTGGAGAATCCATTTGTCTACAGAGCTCAGTAATCTGCCAAGTCTACCATAAATAAAATAAAGGAAGCTTTGCCTTTTTTTTTTCTCCTTTGCTTTTCTCCCCCATCCTCTATTCTTTACTGAAAGTCCTATTGTGTTCTAAAAAACAAAGTTCTATTATAAACTACTTTCAGGGCAATAGGCCTTTAGAATGGAATATATATACACATAAATATATATCTCCCTAACATAATTCATAGAATGGGTGACTAATATATAGAAATTAGTGACATGAAGTTCTTTAGTAGAACCTAATGTCAAAGTAGTATCTATTCATCTTGCAATTATCAGTGCCTCTAAAGAAGCTTCAAAGCAAAAGACTTTAGCATTTAGAAAGTAAACGAGTTCTATGACACCTGTCTCAATTACTTACCTACATTTAGATATAATACTACCAATTTATTATACACAGGGCAGTTGTATTCAAGAATGTCAGGGGCATTTTTATTCAAAGTAAACCGTCTTCATTAAGCTTACCCTACAAATCACAAGTGTGATGACTTCACACTGGGTGATTCAAACTGGGAGATGCTGGAAGCAACAAACTGAGGTTGCAAATTATTCCAGCACTGCAAGCACACAGAGTAAGATAAATACAGGGAAGCCATGAAATGTTTCAGTTTAACACTGGCCACATTTGAGCACTGTCCATCTTCTCTTGCACAACCTGCAAAAGTGTGAAGAAAAACTTAAAGATAGATGCCTGAATTCTGCTGGCCAAGCCTGACCCAGAAGGCAGTACCCTGGAATACCCAGAGCATGTCATGCAATCAAGCAGTTTGCTGGGCAAATGACAGCAAGGCAGGGTAAGAAGCAGCCTGTGTTAACTGGCCAACAAATCAATTACATAAAAATGTAATAGCTAGGCCACTGTTTTTGACAGAAGTTCTTGTCATGCCCTGTCCCAGGCATTTCAAGTACTAGCGGAGATCATGGCAGTGTCAAGGTCTGAAAGGAAGGACACTGTGCCGAGTTGCACACCAAGGACTAGATACTCTTTCGAGCATCCATTTTCTGTGCACAGTTCAGCTCCATAATCTGCCTTTTAGGTAGCTTGGGATCTGCAAAATTCTATTACCTGGTGTTCACATACCAATGCTACTGAATTTAATCTCAGCAGTGCAACTACTTTCAACCAGAACCTCACTCATAAGCTTTGTCAGATCTGAAGCATTCTGAATATATACTGTTTTCCATTGCTTCTCTTTTGAAAAGGTTCACTTGCTTAGCTGTAGCAGTAATCGCAAATTTTCTCTGTGCTGTGTACTGCATTACACCTAAGCATGCAAGTATCCTAAAACTAGATCAACAGGAGTCATAGCACCATCCCTTCAAGATCTGGATAGTAAATCTCTTGTTGGTCAGGAAAAACAACCACAACAACAACAGCAACAAAATCCATCACAAGCCAGCAGACAAAAAACAAGCAAACCCAAACCTCCACAATCTCTTGCTAGAAAGTCAACATCTGTGTGTCACACTTCAAGCATCCTGGAGCATATCTACTAATGAGGGCTTTCCAGTAGCTCAGCATTTCCATTAAAAAATGAAGAAGCTGTATGGTTAATCTACTGTAACAGCAGAAATTCCAGAAAGATAGCTGGAGGAAAAATATGATCCTAAACACAGACATTGGCAGGCCCAGTCTTACAAACTATTTACTCTGACATCCTATTTCTGTTTGGTTTTGTCACCTCGTCTGAGTATAAACCTATGAAAAAGGCCAGAAAAAGTCTGGGACTGGTTACAAGCCTATACCACAAAAATACAATGTTTTCACTTAGAAGTTTCCCCTTAGTTTAAAAAGCCAAGTCTCTGACCACCACCAAACTCACACAGTAAGAGTGAGCCCAGTTGATTGTTTCACTGGTTTAAGTCAATAGGTGTGGAGAGGGAGATGAAAATGGGAAGGGAATTGGAATCAGCATTGCTGGAAGTGACTGACAAGTATTGTTTTTTTTCTCCATGCTACAATCTGATGCAAGACTGTGCTAACAGGCCTGTGAATCTTCACATAGAAGACAAGTGAAGATTTTCTAGAAGAATTTGTTTTATATGAAGGACACTTGAGGGAGTGTTTAAAACATTTTTATGGGGGAGGGATGGGAAGAATGTTGAAAACATTTTTATATACATTCGGGGTGCTACTAGTAAATGTCTTCTTGTAATGGACAAACAGGTGTTGGTTGTTTCATAGTTCTTTGCCTGGAAGCTATAGAACATACCTGAATTACTATGTATTTCAAAAGTGCTTCTAAGAAATAGCTTGTTAAATCTTCTTGTCCTTTATCTCCTGATTGTGGAGGAACAAGTGGAGTGATTTCCTCTACAGTCACTTGAGCTATTAAAAATGACAAAAAAGAAGTACATCTAATGTTTAGAAAATTCCTTCTCATGTATAAATATCTACTAAGTTATTAAAGTAGAAACATACTGGGGTAAGCAGAGACAGTTACAGGGAAAACAATCCATAAAACAATTCACCCATGGATTGATGAAAAATAGAAGTTTTATCTAATGAATAACCATAGAACTGATTTCTTACATATACAAAAACACAGCAGATAATTTCTTCCTGTGCACTTTGAGAATCTACCTGCCAAAATCCAATTTTTCCAAAAGGCATGATCCGTTTATTTTGAAATTTATGTAAACAGTAGGGTAACATCTGTGCTGTGCAAATGCCAAATCTTTATTTATGTCTCATGATTTTCTTCATTTAACACTTGATTGGTTACATTTGCACAAAGTTTCACTAGTTCTAGCCTTTGCCTCTACAGTGAAAATACTTTGGAGTTTATTTTTCTCTTGTTCTTGTAGTTACATGCTTGCATTTCCCTCTTCCCACTCTGCATTTCTATGCTTCATATAACCCCTTCAGATTTGTTCCTCCTCTCCTGCTGCAGAGATAACACAAGTTAACTCCAGAACAGTGCTTAAAACACGTAGCCAATGTCTATCTGCGGAGCTATCCTGCCACGAAATTAATCTGCTAAGTTTCAGTAAATTTAATTACCAGCCAAGGAGACAACTGCTTGCTTCTACAAGCAATGCTTGTGTCAGCTCTAAAACACTGGGTGGAGGTGGAAAAAAGCAACAGCACATAACATTCAGAGGAAAAAGTGGTTAGCTTCTTATTCACGTTAATGTGAATGCAGAGTTTACATTTATTACCCTATCCAACTGCAACTGACCAATAAATTAGCTTAAAATCCTACTAACAGGAATAAATTGAATTAGTAGGAAAGAGGCCCTCCAAAGTAACCAGCAGCTCTTACTTATTGCTAGAGTGGACAGTCAAAGGAGAAACTGTCATAACATTCATCTTAAGAGGAAAATCATCCTCGCTCTACGGATTAGAGTCAACATAATGACCTTAACATTAAAAAAAAAGTAAATCTAGAAAGTATTAAAAAGCTTATCTCAGAATGCTCAAGCCTTCCTATTGATGCAGGCCTTTCTAACCTCAAGTTTTGTATTTTATAAGGTCCAATTCTTTTAGAAGACTCTGAGCCACAAGAATATCACAGCTTTAATTGTCTGGTCACACACAGGCACAGCAGGAAGATCCACCATTTGGCTTTATGCACTGCCCTAACAACCACTCATTCTCTTGGAAGGCCATGCCAGAAACTGCTTTGCTTAGCTTGCTCCCTAGAGCATGGCCAAAGGCAGTGCAAATGTTCAACACAAGCAGAATCACCTGTGCAAAGCTGCAGTAGATGCAGCACCTGCCTGCAATTTTCAAGACGTATTACATAGAATTGGTCAGTTAATTTTCACCCACCATGTGTTAAGCTACTATAGCCATACTTTAAAAACAAAAACAAAGAAAAAAAAACCAAAACAACCAAAGAAACAAAAACAAACAAACAAAAACAACCAAGCCCACAAACAAAACCAAAAACTAACCCACCCTGAAACAAAGACAACAAAGTTATTGTTGGAAGAAGACCTGATAAACTGCCAAGAAACTAATGGCTCCATACTCTCCCTTGGGACATACATATGCTAGTTCTTTGTTACTTCAACTTGCCTTTTTGTGCTGAGCATTGACTTATATAGATAATTGAGTAATATTACCAAATTACTTACTGTCTTGAACATTAAGTGGAGGGTTAATGAGATTATCTAGTGTTCGGGGGCCATATTCAGACTGTGGTGATGAAAATCCAGGAATCAAGCAAGAAAACATCCATAGCTGTTCTTTACTACAGTTATTCTGAAGTGCTTGCAGCCACAAAAGAAAGAGACGCACACCCTCTCGTCGTATCTTTAAGGAAAAAAATGGACCAAGTTAACTTGTCCCAAAACACACAAAAGCATTTCCATTTGTCCTGGAGGGAGAAGAAGAAGGGAAGTGGTAGAAGAGATGAGAACAGACAGACAGTTATGACCACGGCAATCAGCCGGAGAGCCAGGTTGGTGCATCTGCTACTCCTGCCGAATGAAAGTACAACCCTGGCACCTTCACTGCTGGCTGCCTCACTGAATCTCTTTCACAGGGTTTTCTCTAAAAGAACAAGAAAACCAGCGCACGTCCAACCACTTGCTTCACTACAGCACTGCAACATGCCACGTGCCTTTTGCAGAACATACAAAGACCATCATAAAATTTCTAAATGTGTTTGTGAATTATAACAGAGTGAGCTTTTTGCAGCAGAATGACCTGCTCTACCCTCTCCCATCCCTTCTTCAAGAAAGGTAATGGGAGTCCTAGAGCAGTCCTGCCTGGCTTGCACACTGGAGAATTTCAGCACCAGTCAAGCCTGCAGGTGGTTTACAGAGGAGTGGCATGGTGGCTTGCTGCAGAATCAAGACCACATGTTATACTGGAATGGCTTTTGTCTCATGGTCAACCGTTATTACACTACTCACCCGTAGGACTCTTTGGCGTATCTTCCACCTTCAAACACAGCCTGAGCCCCCAAATCACAGCCGTAGCCCCAAAACCAGTTTCTTTAGAATCATAGAATCCTTTAGGTTGGAAGAGACCTTTAAGATCATCAAGTCCAACCATTAAGCCAACACTACTAAGTCCTCTGCTAAAACAGATCAGAATCTGTCAGGGCTGGAAGGGACCACAAGGATCACCCAGTTCCAACCCCTCTGCCATGAGCAGGGACACCTCCCACTAGATCAGGCTGTCCAGAGCCTCATCCAGCCTGGCCTTAAAGACCCCCAGGGATGGGGCCTCAACCACCACCCTGGGCAACCCATTCCAGGGTCTCACCACTCTCATGGTGAAGAACTTCTTCCCCCTTTGCCCCTAACAATGAATGGTTAAGGCCTACTTCTGCTTCAATGCAAAATCCTTCAAATCATTTGCACACATTCTTAATGTGGCTACCTTATATAAACACATTACTACTGAGAATAGGTCTACAGAGGTGATGCTGATGAAGTCATTCTTTCATGACACACAAGTCATTATCTGGTGCTCATTTCTGTGCTTTTACCATAAAAATCTGCCCTTATGCTGTTAACTGCAGTTTTAAGAGTTTTAGACAAAAGTATGCCACCAATATCCAATACCAGTATCCAATACCTTTAATGAATTTCCAGTATGAAGAAGTTTCTTCAATATCAACCCTAAAAAGGAAGAAAAAAAAACAAAACACACATATACTTGTTTATTTGTTCTGTCTTTATGAAGTAAGATGTCAGAGTTCTCGGTCAGACTTGACAGTAACTTTCAAACAAGTCCTTGGCAATCTCCAATTTGATCTTGGTGAACTTCATATCCTCAGGCAACTTTCTCAATGCCAGAAGGAAAAAAAAAAGATCACCTTTCATATCTTCCTCATAACCCATAGTATTTTTCTCGAAGTACTTTTTGGGATGTGTACATTAAAAGCCAATGATTCTCAAGCCATTAATGTGCATAACATCAGCAATCCCCATTTACAAATACAGACCTCAACCTAATTTATAATGTATTACTAAAAGACTATATAAAAAAAATTAAATTACAAAGCAACTTTCCACCTGCCCTTTCTCCTTCTCAGTCACTGTTTTATTTCCAGATTCCCAGATTGAATTCTATCTAGAAGAAAATTCATTATATTGGCTGTTTTTTTATTTGTTTTCTTTTTGTTTTCCCTTCTCCTAGCTTGCAAGGGTTTCAAGACCATAATCCCCATTATGACACTTAAAGTTGAAGGACATGAGTAGCACAAACCACTAATAGCTACTGATAAAAAAATAAGTTTTTAAAAAAAGAAAGAAAAAGAAAGAAAATCAACTTACCAATACTATGAAATTGCCATCTCTGATGAATCCTTTCTGGAAGGAGTTGCAAAATTTTCTGCAAAAACAGAACCCAAGGATCTGCGTTACATACACTGCTCTCAGAAGACCAAAGAGCGCTTCCACAAACGCCACAGATCAGAAGCTGAAGGATTAACTTAGAAAATTTCCTCACTGCTTTCCTTGGATATATTACTGTCCTTTCAAGATAATCCCATTCCTAAAGCTAAAAAGCCCAAAGGCCCTGACAGACTTGTCTGGTAAGTCTTGCACTGAAGACTTCAGATGTTACTGCAGTTTGTCTGGCTCCACTGCCTCCCCACTGGATATTGCTTATAGCACTGGGAGAGGAATGGGATAAGCCCCTGCCTCGGTTGTTCTGGCTCACTACGGATTGTGTTGGGTTATTCCACCTTTACAGTGCCTTAAACTAGGATGCTTAAGTGTCAACTTGCCTCTGTGGCACAAGCAAACATCTGCTTCAGCCATCTCAACAGAGGGGGGAATGAGCTACAGCAAAACAATTGAAGAAAAGACCTGGGTCTAAGACATCTCCAGCTAGATCAGTGGATGATCATCTTCAGATGGTAAGAAACAGCACAGTTAGTGGCAGAGGCCATTAAAAATATATTACATAGCACTTTAACATCTATGCTAGGGGCATTAGCAGCTTGTAAATGAAACAATTTCCACAGTAAATTCCTGGCTGTGGCCATCCAGCAGCCTGTGTAACTAACTGCTTCCAAAGCACAGGTCACCTAATGTCCCTTTATGTAGGGACTAGTGAGTAAATGAAACAGATCTCTTCAGATTCACTCTCCTTGTAACAGCTAACCCTACAGTTTTAAGCACCAATGTACCTTACTAAAAAAAGAGAAAAAATGTTGAATTTTTATTCAAACATGTAATAAGCACTCAGTTTTCAATTGTACGTACTTCTAAAAACCACAATCCTTGTTCTATACTTGGAAGCCTCCATCAAAAAAGAAAGATAAAAACTTAACATTCTAAGCTCTTTTTAAACTACAGTATCTGCTTAGAAATGTTCCAATTTCATTAAATTAGTTTCTAGTGCATCTTAATTAGGTCAAGATATGCTTTTGATAAGACTATTGTGAAACGCTATCTTCAAAAAATAAATATTTTTGAAAAGGGATCTATAAAAAAACCTAATTCTGCACTAGTAATCTATTACAAGAAAAATCAGATACAACATGCAATCAAAAGGCCAAAGAGACCATGACTCAGAGATCACCTCTATAAGAATTTCAAAGTGCTTAATACATTGGAAGTAGGAGAGGAAATGCCACCACGAAAAAGTAATGAACTATCTGCAGATGCAGAAAACATTTTTTCCAGTTAAGCCATCTGCTTGCAAAACCGCAAGTCAGATTATTTTTCTCGTCACACAAAGCACATATATTCAACCTTAAGGAAAGGAAAAAGGAATGCAGTTAAACATAAAGCATATTTCCAGGTCACTGTAAATAGCTGTACTGCTATTATTTAACAGGACTTAATTAAAATTTAAAAATTATTACAGGAATATTCAAGTTATCTTACCTCAAAAATAAAAAGAATAGAATCTAATTCTTCTCTCTGAGACTTATGACCTAGATGCAATTAAAAAGAAATAGAATATTCACTTTCATTACCAAAACAAAATGTAAACAACACAAACAAAGATCCTTATACATGCAAAACCAAAAACATGCATTTCTACAATGATTATTTTGCATTCCTTCTGCAAGTCAAAAAAAAAAAAAGTATATTTCACAGTAATGGTCTGTAACTGTTACAGTTTGTATAACTTTCTGCTATGGCACCAACAGCTGGTAGAGATGAAGTTATACAATATCTTGTTAAACAAAACTTAGAATAATGCTGCAGAACACAAATACTTTAACACCTTAAGAATCCTCACTTTGCAAAAGGGCAAAACCAGTCAGAGTATTCTCTGTGCTCACCTGCATTCCATGCACCTCTACTTGCTTTGGCTTTATTTGCAAAGCCAGTGCTTACACCCATTTCTGCACAGCTAATGTTGCCATTTGTGACCAAAGACACACAGCTTCATTTATAACATTCTGCTTTACTTCCTAACAAAACCACAAGCACCAAGACAAAGTATGCTATTTGAAATGCTTACCTTTTTGTTTAAGGCCTACTTCAATAGTCACAAAGTTTTCAAAGAACACATAATATATATTTGAGAAATGTAGGTCAAAAAACTGTTTGAGATCAATTGATTCTGCATTCTCTGAAAAACAGAACAGAACATTGGTTTTATTTCTTTCCAATAGTTAGCGTCAACCACTGCATAACATTATCCAGTAATAAGAACTGAAGATACATAAAAGAAAAAATATTATTGGTAAATAAATTCTTGATGTTTTCATTCTTTTGAACTGAAGCTAATGAAATTCAATAGGGCATGCTGCTAATTGCCTTATGAATTTTAAACCAGGAAGCCATGTCCTGTTGCACGCTCATTGTTTCCACTACAGTAACAGAACAGAATTCCAGCAAGACTAGCACCACACAGAAGAATGCTGGTTTAATTGTTAATTTAATAGAAATAAAGCTAACAATGCTGCTCAAACCCTACAACAGAAAGATCATCACTGTCCTCCACTGCAAGTACTAGACACAGCTAAGCTTACTTAAGTGGGATCAGGATAACAAGTAAGTGAGGACCACTTCTGCCCTGTGAAGAAACAGGCTGGGAGGCAGCAGTGTGGCATCCCTACTCCCTACAAGCTCCAAAATTCACTTTCCTTTCCAGTCTGGGCTAGTCCCTTGTACCCCTTCGACTGTGTGGTCTCAGGAGATCAGACGCTGGGACCTCAGGGACGCCCCGAGGTAGAAATACCATTGTGAGTGTAGAAGGATGTGCTTTCTTGTGTACTCCAGGAAGGTTTCCAGACTGTCTTCCCACAACCCCCTAGATGGTTTTGTCAGATCCTTGGTTAAAGAAAAGTATGATTTGTCTACATTAATTTTAGATTGACCATTTCAAACAATTAACTATTTCAAGCCTTAAACACTGTACCAAAAGACATTCCCTGTCCTATTATTTAACTACATAAGAAACTAGAAAAACTAGGTGGACAGAACAATAATACGGATGCAGAAGAACAGGGAGTCCGTATTTTAATAGAGACAAAACTACCTGCTATCAGAACATTGATCTGAAACAAAAAAAAACCCCAAAAACCAAAAAACACCACCCAAAACCATGAAGCAAGGCAAGACACACAAAACCTTTAAGCCCTTTGCCAGCTCTATACACTGAGACATCATCTTTCACTGTAGATATAACTTCTATGAGCCTTCTTCCAATTCTTTACTGGATCACAGTTGTTCAACCCATTTTAGAATTACATCAGTCTTTATCATATCACATGACTGGATATACATCTGGTAAAGTAAAAAGCACAGAATGAATCAATTGAAAGGACATCCAAAAGTATGGCAGATTTTCAATGCTATTTTATTCAATGGCTCCAGAGGACTGTCAACTCAATTTTACCACAAATCTTGCTATAAAAGTTTCCAATACACATTCAACTTTCTGCCAATGTCTTGCATAATCAATGCAGTGGAGCCAGAGTGGTCTTGGAGAAGACAGTACTGCATTAACAGACAAGATCAACTCTTAAAAGCAAGGCAGCTTAGCTAGCAACAAACTCAGTGGTTCAGAGTGGCAAGCATGCACCTGACCACCTACAGGATTACCAAACCTCTAGTTTTGCAGAAACTGCTCCATCACTTACAGATCAGCAGCTGAATGCTAGAGTTGGGAATCTGAAATATTAAAGCAGGGACAACAAAAACCAATTCCACCTTAAACAAATTAAAACATGATTTTCAGGTAATCAGGGAAAGCACACGAGAAACGGAGCTACGACTAGAACGCAGCCACGACCACTACAACCCCTTCCACCCACAGGGCAGAAGCCCAAGTGGGTTCTAGACTATGGGCAAGAAATTGGAACAGGAGGCAAATCAAAAAGCTTTGAGATAGGAGGACTAAAGGGAAAAAGAAAGCAATGAGTAAGATTCTTGGGAGAAAGGAGAGTGACAGGAGATAATCTTTTGGTCTATATATTTAGCAGCCCCATGGGAACTGCACATAGAAAGCAGTGCAGCAGTTCACTGGATGCAAAGGAGCAGAAAACACGAGTTTCAAATACTAACGGGATCAGAAGCAGTTAAACAGGGTCTCTGCCAATCAACACACAGCAATGCTACATTTTTGCAGGCATATCAAATGTTTCATTTCCTGAAATAGGTCCTCATTTTTCCCCAGACATGGGTCAACTCTGAAGCATACAAATAAAAAGAACAAAACAAATCTCTTCTTTAAAGACTGAGTCTTTGCAACAGTTGATCATTTTTTTGAGATTCTATTCCAGGACTCTTCAGGCGCCAACCCAAAGGCCTGCCTACACAACCAGCTCAACAGTGACTCCCACTTCACCACGTAATTGCTGCCTGACGCTTGCATACATACAACAGGACCTGTGGTGAGGCGTTCTGCCTTTCCAAAGTTCTGTTCCAGGGGGAGGTAGGGGGAATTTCAGGATGGTCCTTCTTTAAAATTAGTTTTATTTTTTATTTATTTATTTAATAACTGTGGTGGAAATCACTTTGGAAGAGACTCAGAAGAGCACTGGTAGGTCTGTATTATTACCATTAACAACCAATTAACGCTAAAAGCACACCTTCAGAATACAGCTCTAGCTTGGTAGACTAGGATGGAAGTAAGTTCCTTGACTTTGCAACTTTTTTAGCAAATGCATTTCACTCTGATTTCTTCCTAAGATCACAACTGATAGCATAATCAAACCAAATTTTTGGAATTCAAATCAAACTGGCAACAGCAACTGAATTACTGCAATAAATACTACAGCTTCAGATGGAAGAAAATAAAAATATGCTATTTTAATTCATGGGAATTTTGTCCTGGCATTACCTAAAAATAATACTTAAAAAAAATACACAAAACTCCACAGCTATTTCTATTATTGCTGAAAAACAGATTTCCTTCTACGGGAGGGAAAAGACGACTTGTACATCCGATAGGTTTGCCATCTATAGCAAGAGAGCATCTGCTCACCATTAAATCACACCTTCAGTAGGATGCTGGTCCAGGAATTTGGAACCTTGTATTGGTCAAGAAGTTTGGAACTCATTATGCATACCCTGACCGAGAATTACTGCAAGGACGAGAAGGGGGAGGGGGGGGAGAGGAGATACAGCAGGGAGATAATGTAGACCTCAGAAGAGTTTGATGAAAATCATCTAGTCTGGCCATCTGCATACATCATTCCATTTCACAGTTACCTCGATACTGAACACAATCCACATTAATACATACATGGAGAGACTACTGCTCTCCTTGATTACTTTTAACATTAAAACTTCTCACTATATGCTGCTGTTACAGCTTTCTTCATTAACTAAGGATCTGATTTTTTTCCCCTAATAAATGTACATCTCTAAAACATTCAGTTCACATTTATCCTTGTGATCAATTAAGGATACAGCTCTTCAATTATCTCATCTTAAACCATTTCTTCCAACACTAGATCACTGTCTCTTTGCTCTGCTCTCCCATACTATCACGAATGCTGCATACAGAAGAAAAAATAATTTCTTTTACATGGAGCATATGCATGTCCTTTTCACACAGCCTTAATCTGGGAATTTGCAGGAAGGTGCTTGTCTGCTTTGACAACTTAATCTTTTCTGCCTTTTTACGAAGGGATAGATTGCCTTGTTTTTACATGAAGAAGGATTACACAGAAGCAGGCTTTCCTCCCTAACTTACAGTGTGTTTATTTATTTATTTTTAAACAAAAGAACTTTGTATTCTCCTACTACAGATTCATGTAACTAACACAAACTACTGTATTCCTTGTGCTCTTGGTACTTATGCCCAGATTGGGAGCAGGGAAGGACACACAAATAGATCTGGCACCACATAAAATAGAAAAGTTTCTCAGACTGGGAGAGAGGAAAATGGGACATTACTGTATTCTAACAGAGTAAGAACTAAAGCTTCTTCTGGACAAAGCATAGTTCCAGTACACTAAAGTCCAGATTTCTGGCATCATTCATGCAAGCTGTTTGTCAAGAAAATGCTGGTCTCTTAATGGTTTGCAAAAGCAAGAAACATGTTTTTGATTGACAATTTTTCCTTAGTTTTCTGTAAATTAAAAATTGGTACAAATCTGATCTCTGCATTAACTCTGTGTATTCAGTGATGCTTTTGGGTTTTTTTTTTAAGGAGAAAGTTACATTTAAGCACAACAAGACATTACATAGCTTCTCTGTCCTTTTCTTCCCCCAATAAAACTTTTAGAAAAGTAGCTTTAGTTTTTCCTAGATTCAGTATGAAAAAGGTAAGTTACCTTTTTTGTTGTTTTTGTTTAAGTTTCAGAAGTTGTATTCAGCTTATGGATTTCTGTTCTATTTTGATGCATGAAACAAAGAAGCAAACTAAAAATGGAAAACTAGTTATCTAAGCTATTTGTATGACCCTCATTACAAGAGCATTCAAGTACTGGATCAACTGGAATTCCTATTTCCATTATACAAGCTGATATTTGGAAGTTCTATAATTCCCCACCTTACAGACTGAAGGTGTAGCAAAGGACTAAATAAAAATAAAACCAACAAACAAACACACACACCCCAATAAAAACAAAAATCCCTTCATCTCTCCCACCAACTTCTGTGCTTTCACATGACTGTACTTCCAGGAACTTACTTTCCTATGCTTTCAAAAGGCTAACTCTTTTGAAGGTTAACTTTCTGAAAGGTAACATTCTTCCCAAGTATCTCAGTAAGATACTCAAAAACTTAAGTGCCCACAGTGATTATTTTAGGATGGGAAGATTCTAAGCCAAGGGTTTCTTGCTGAAAAATTGTTCTGCTGAAGAACTCTGAGAATAAACCCACTTGCTCCTATGGTCTTATTACCATTCAATTATCGGTACATCCCTTTCTAACCAGGAGTAATTTGCAAACAGAAAAGTATTTCAGTAAAAATGCAACCCCTTAATATCACACATTAGAAGGAGGATACTACTTGAATAGCATATATTACAACTGCAGCACAAAAGTACCTTCTTAGAGAGCTTACAAAATTACTGTTAGATGTAAAACATCAACCAAAAAATACAACACCGATTTTTACTGAATATCTACTCAATTTTAATTACAAATTTAACTTTACTTAAATTTGTAAGGGATCATCTGAGCCAGATTCTGCAAGGTTTAAAAGTTTGCACATACAACACCTCAATCCTCTGTAGGAAGAGATGTCAGTGGGTTTTATCTTATAGTATACACAATTTGCCTTCCCTCTTTATTTTTTCTACATATTACCCTATAAATTATATAAACTAATACACAGCATCCATTACTATTTATAAATTAGTTGAGTTTGGAAGGGAAATGCACATACTATTAAGACATGTATGAAATTAAAATATTATAAAGCACGTAAACTTGTACTTTCTGCACAGGACAGAACTTTAAAGGTAAACAGTCAAAATACTTAAAACTAAAACACAGAGATCTTAGAGACATATTAACTTTTCTGAAAAGAACATTAAACTGTGCCACAGAAAGCAAGAGGTTTCTCAGCGTCAGCGTCCCCAATTTCAGCTAACATACAATCAAAACAGTCACTAGAATTTATTCATTCTTAATTCTCCAAGCTGAAAAATGTACCAGCTGCTTCACAGCGACACAGCGCAGAGGTTCTGTTACGTGGGGACAGTGTCTCAGATGGAAAAGTGCATCATTCAGAAAGGTTAAGCAGCAAACCTCCAGAACTGACCAGTGGCTCTGGCATAGTTA